GGGAACAATTTTGGGTGCCTTACCTTGAGGTCAGGACACAGGGCGTAGCAGGTGAGCTCGAACCGAACCTGGTCGTTGCCCTGAAACACAAATGGGAGATGCTGAGGGGTAACCCCACACTGGGGCGGGCTGGGAAGTGGGTGCCCCCCACCCTGATCTCACTGATGGGGGATGGAGCCTCATCCCTGGCCCGGCTCGCCCAGGGCCATACAGCATCCTCAGGAGAGGAACATGGCCTGGAAGGGCTGCAGGGTTTGGATTTGGGGAAAGAAACTGCAAAATTGGTGGAAAATGTTAAAAAAAAAAAGGAAGGAGCATTAAAAGTGCCGATGACAAAACAGCAACTCCTGGCTGCGCTGGAACGGCTTTGTCTTTGGAGTTGGGAGGCTCTGGGGCTGCAGGGCACTGGAAGAGCACGTGTGTGACGGTGCACATGTGTGTGACGGTGCACACGCGTGTGACAGCACACATGTACAGCCCCGGAGACGTTGCTCGGCTACAGTAGCAGGTCCCTGTGCAATGCTGGAGACCTCAGGCACGGCGGGCAAGGACTCACCATTGCCCTGCTCCCGGCGGCTCTCCCCGCACAGGGACGGGACCAAAACCCCCTCAGCAGAGAGCGAGGGGGGACGTGGCCCCGGTCTCAGCTCTGGCCCACACGGGACAGCCACTTTGCCTATGTCCACTGCGAAAAGCATCGCAGCCCATGGCATGGGAGACCCTTGGCTGAGTGAGGTGTTTGCAAATCCCTGCGAGAGCCACGAACCAGGAGGGATGTCCAGGTGATGGTACCCAGGGCTTCATAGACCGAGGCTCTCTGCGGAGGAGTGGGGTCACACCTGTTCTCCCAGTAACACCACTGGGATGGGATTGATGGCAATTTCACTGGAAAACCAAGGCCTGAGGCTAAGGACCCATCTATCTCCTCCATTCCCCCAGCACGGAGCCGGTAATGGATGCCAGGACCTGGGCGGGCTCTGTCCCATGAGGTCAGTCCTGGTCCCTCTCCATGGTTGGTTTGAACCCACTGGTGCTCCTGATCGCCGAGTGTTCAAAACCCCAAGGCAGCTCGAGGGAGCATGGCTGACCCTGGCTGGGGTCACCCAAGGATCGTGGGCTGACACTCCTAAAAACAACCAGCAGAAACCCAGATTTGGGTATTTTTCCCCTGCAGCCATCAGAGGACACATGGAGGGAGAGGGCAAGGTAGGGGGGAAGACCATGGTGTCCAAGAGGATGCAGCAGCTCATAATTAAATAGCTCTGAAGCTCCCTTTATCTTAATTGACCCATGCTGATGAGGTCCCATTAATGAGGCCAGGTAGTCAGGAAAGGGTGAGGAGCGAGCCTGGGGGTTATTAACACTTCCAAGGGAATAGCACTCACCAAAGCCAATTTTCCAGCAGCACCAAGGGATGTACGGAACCCCCTCCCCTCCTCTTGGCCCCGGCCTGGAGGAGACACTTAGGACTGGGCTGGGAAATCCCCGAGGACTATTACACACAGGCGAGTACATCCACCAAAGCACTCATTTCCCTTACAGGCCCAAAACAAGTCCATCTGCTCCGGCAGCGGGGACACCGCAGATGGCCCGCATTTAAGACGCCGTGGTCTCAGCCGGGGATGGGGCGCAGCCGGGTCGAGTTACCCGCAGTCGGTCCCTGCCTGCACCCCCGGGCTTAATGGTTCGGGGAGCGGGAAGGGGCTGGGGAGCAGGTGAGGGTGCCCCTGCGAGCGGGGACGGCTGGTGCTGGTGGTACCCAGGAGCGGAGGGGACATCATCACATCGGGGGTGCGTAACTCCAGGGCATCCCTGAGCGGGGGCTTTCAAGAGAGGGTTGCTGGGGATGGGTGAGATGGATGGGGAAGGGGTACGGGAAACCTGTTGTAGCAGGAGCAAGAGTTATTTCAGCCACAAAGCCCCCTCCAGCTGCCCTGCTGCCCCACCTCCCAGGTGCCCTGGGCTATCTCCTGCCTGCATCTAACATCCCCCCTTCTAGCTGGGGACACCCACACCCGGCCCCTTGCACTGACACCCCGGCACCTCGCCTTTGCCCCTGTGCCAAGCTAGGTACGGTCTATGCTTTGGCTCCCTGTGGGATGGGGAGGAGGGTGCATCCGGCAGGTCCTGGGTGCAGGCACAGCACCCAAGGGCCCCACAGAGACCCCTGGTGACAATGTCACCCTGCCCCAGGTGTCCCCACATCGGGCTGGGCAGCATGCAAGCCAGGGCTGGAGGTGTCAGGGGGTGGCCCACGGTCACGTCTCGCAGGTCCCACGCCCCCACCACGTTCCCCGTGGAGGATTCCCCCTCTCCGGGCAGGGGCTGGCCCCGAGC